AAAAAAAAAAAGAAAGAGACCAAAGGGTCAAGAAGCTAAAATACTTACCAAGATGTGCATTTAGAGAATTTCTGGCTTAATGTCCTTTTTTTTAATGTCAAAGAAGCTATGATAACCTGAAGGCATTACTTCAGTAAATGAAGAAAAAGTTCGTAGTTTAAAAACAGGTACTTTAAGAAAACAACTTATTTTACAAAATATAGGTGACATGTAAAGTTTTTAATAGGTTTGGACACATTCAATTTATAATGGCCAAAAGTGATTCGGCCTGTGGGATAGAGAAGACATTAAATGGAAGGTTAGGAGTGTTTTTGCAACACTTTTAGCGGTAATATCAAAGAGGACAGGTGTCCATGGAAATTGATGTGTATGGTCAGCTCACAGGCTTCTGCTAATTGTATTTTCCTTTTTTCACTTTTAACAGTTTATTCCTCTTGTGTCCAGTTGATTGCTTCCCAGAGTTTAAAAGGAAACTTAAATAGCTAGTCTAAATGATTTATAAACATGTTTTTCTGTAGATTTGTTGAATAAGAGGTTAAAAATAATATGCAACATTATTGAAACAATTGATAAGCTCTTATTTGAGTAGTTATAAATTCCCTTAATATAATAAAAAATGATGTCTGACTAAGAAACTTTGATTAAACTTGACTGTGCTCTCTTGTAGACTCTCTTATCTTTCTTGCTGCCTGGTCACACTAGACTGAGAAACCAAATAACAGAAGTCTTGGATCTGGATCTGATAAAGCAGGAGGCAGAGAATGGGGCCCTAGACATTTCCAAGCTGGCAGAATTCATCACTGGCATGATGGGGACACTCTGTGCACCTGCTCGAGATGAGGAAGTTAAGAAACTAAAGGACATTAAGGAAATAGTGCCCCTTTTCAGGTACAGGAATCGTACTAATCACCTTCAGTCCACCTAGAATACAGAGCCTGTTTTCAGATTTAGACTCCTCAAGTATAGATACTTTTTAGTTTTTTTCCCTCAACTTTTTTTTTGAAAAATTCTAAACCTACAGAACAGTTGCAAAAATGGTATGATCAACACTCATATATCCTTTATGTAGATTCACAAGCTTTTAACATTTTGTCAGTTTGCTTTCTTTTTACATGATGTATCAGAATGTACACATGGGTGTATATTATTTCCCCTGAACCTTCTCAGGGTTAATGACAAATATTGTGACATTTCACCCTTAAATATTTTAGCAAGTATCTCCTCAGAATGTGGATGTTCTACATAATCAAAATACAGTGAGATATTAAATTTAACATTAATATAATCCCATTAACTAACATGTAGTCCACAGTAACTTCCTTTGGTCTTTTGATTGTTTCTATTTAAATATATGGATTTGTGATCAAGTTTTTGCAGTTTTAGTGCTAATGTGGGAAAAGGATTGACATGCTGCTGCCTGAGAGTTTGACTTTTGGTAACTGCTTAGATCTGCTTTTCTGTAAACAGGTAAAGGTGTTATGCATCAGAATCTTCCTTGGCAATACTGCTGGTAGGGAAAATGACCTCTGATTGTTAAATTGCATCTGGAGTGAAAGGAATGATAATGAACTATACATACTGGATGGGACATGACAACTCTGGACTTCTTTAGTGGGTAACTTATATTTGGGCGTGCCTGCTCCTGGAGACCCAAGAAGCCATTCCATACTATTATTACAAAACACATCAGCATGTGAGGATTTGAAACCATGTGTCTGAGTTGTTTGTGCATGGCTCATACTGTAACTCTTGGTGTTGCCCTCTAGGCAAGTGTGTGAGTAGATGATGCCAAACCTCTGAATGTTCAGTTGAATTTAAGAAGGCCTCCTGGTCTGACTTCCTTTGCAGCCCTTACTTTTTCAATTAACATTATGCTCTAATCATTTCACTTAATTTTCTCATTGAAAGTGTCATTGAGATCATTGTCTATTCACCTGTACACTTTATCCAGTTTTCCTCAATGGTAACATTTTACAAAACTGGAGTGTATCACAACCAGAATATTGACATTAATACAATCCACTGATCTTGCTTAAATTTTCTCTTTTACCTAAAAACATTTGTGTGTGTGTGTGTATGTGTGTGTGTGTGTATGTGTGTGTGTGTGTATGTGATTTTTATACAGTTTTAACACTTGTGTAAGTTTGCATATTTGCCACCACATTCAAGGTATTGAACAGTTCCAATACCACAAGGATCATTGATTGCCCTTTCATAGCTTATATTGTTCTTGAAAAATTCCCTGTAAGCATTTTCAATGGTTGCAAAACATTCATTTGCATAGATGTAATTAATTATTTCTCTGTTATGATAGATTATGTATACTTATTTACTATTTAACACTACAGTGAACATCTTTATACACAAAACTTTTTTCTGTATTTTAGAGTTTTACTGAAGATAGGTTCTTAAAATGGGATTGCTGTGTCAGAGGATAAGACTCTCATTGCATGTTATCAAGTTGCTTTCCAGAAGTTCTTTCATTTTCAGTTGAGTATCATTTTATCATTGTGGTAGCAATATTCAGTAAATTCAAAAATGCCCTGCATTGCAAAGTTACCTCAGGGTATAGAAAGAGTACTGAAAAGACCTCCTGAAAATAGTTACTGACTTGTTCATTCATTCAACAAGCTCTTAGTAAGCACCTCTCATGTGCTACACGTGGTGCTAGACATTGGAAATAAAATAGTCAGAAGAGCTTATAACCTAGCCAAGTTAAATGAGAAATCCCTTGGAAGAATTATTCTGGGAAAATAGCTTGTAGCAAACTCAACCTAAACTCTAATCCTTCTGTAAAGAGAAGGGACTGGGAAACTGGGAGTACATGCCCTATCAGAAGGAGGCAGCAATGGCCTCTTAGTGCCAGCTAGTTGTGGCCATGATGGAACATTGGTCCACGTGCCAGATCTTTAGATTTTTCAAGAGAAGCTGGAAATCCAGGTTTTTAAAAACACTGTGAACACAAAACATGTTTTTGGGTTACCTCCAGTCAGTGGCCACCAGTTGGTAGTTTCCAATAGTCTCTGGTTTTCTGTAGGTGGATTTTGGGAACTGTTGGGCATGCTCAATGGAAAGGAGAATGTCCCCCAGGAAAGTAGGGTGTCCCATGTATTTGGGAGATGGACAGCATGACCCTGTTCCTTAGAATATGTATCCTTTCCCACGTATTATTACCTTATATGTAGGTGAGTTTATTGTGTCATATAATGTTCAGTCAATCCCAAGGGGCATCAAGGGACTTGGAGGACATTTGATCTTGTTCCTGCTTACATGTAGGGCCACACCTAAACCTGTAGCTTGGGTTCTTAACCACCTTCTGCAAACAGGTCACGTAGGAGCTCCTGCCTCTAGAGAGAGTGGTCATGGTAAGTGTGACAAGCAGGATGGAAGGCATCCTTGGCACTGGGTCAGGCCTGCCCACTGGATACAGTCAGACTGTGAATGTACCTTTTACCACCAGAACTTGATCATAAAACAGGCCCTGAAACAAAGAGTGACTGGGGTAAGAAGAAAGGAGAAATGAGTGAGGTAATTTTCTTTCTTTCCTAGGAAGTGAATTAACCTATGTGAGAGAAGACACTGGGTGATGAGTTCTCTGCCCTTAACCTCAAGTCGTGGCTCCTTCCTTCCCCTGTGACTACACTGAGGGCTGAGCCAGAACCAGAAAATGCATTCTGCTGTAGATGGGCAGTGCGGGGAGCCCCATTTGCCTGGGGGCAAGGGATGGTAGGGTGGGGATAGAAACAGTTAAAAAATTTGCAGTCTTTTCAAACCATTAAAGTTTTTATGTTTTCTAAATTTGTTTTTGTTTCTCATGATTCTTCTAGCTTCTCATAGCTAGAAAGCTAAGATTTTGAAAAGCCTAGCTCAAGTCAGTTCACCCCTTCCTTTGAAACAATGTTTATGTTGCAAATGCCCAGTTCAAAATCTTTTTATCTCTTTTCTTTCAGAGCAATTTTTTCTGTGTTGGACCTAATGAAAGTGGACATGGCGAACTTTGCTGTCAGCAGCATTAGGCCACATCTCATGCAGCAGTCAGTTGAATATGAAAGGAAGAAGTTTCAAGGACTCTTGGAGAAGCAACCAAGTATGTTCAGTGTTCGTGGTACTCTTTCGTTGTCTGTTTCTTCATTTTAAATGCTGTGGCTTGTTGCATATAATATTTTCAAAACAAAACTAATATTTAGTGTAAGAGTAGTCTAATTTGAAAACAGAAAAACACAAGACATTAGGACTTGAAAAGACTTCATTGACAAGTGAGAGAAATAAGGTAGATATAAGAATAGAAATTTGAAAGAATGAAGAAGTCCTGAGTTAACTAGGTTTTTTAATGAAAACACCGGTTTGAGGTGAATTGTATGCTTGGCCTTGATTTTAAAACATGGCAGAGTTCTTGTGACTGTTTAATTCACTTTTCTCCTTGGAGATACATCAAGAAATTCTCCTTTGCTTCTGTTCTATATGCATAAAAGATTTCTGATTTCACACTCAGAAAGAGGCTCATTTTTATGAACTTTTCGGATGACTGTAGGAAAACATGACCATAGACGCCAAAACCATGTTGCATTTCTAGGTGCTTTTTTGAGTTTCTGCACAGGCCACTGATGTTCTGTGTAAACTGCAGCCTTCAGATCACATTTATTATGAGTTCCATTTAGCCTCTAACTTTGTTGGTCACAAGATGAAAATGGCAGTGTCTGGGTGGATGTGTTGCATGACCAGAAGGGTTAATTCAGTGCCCTGAGTAGTTGTTCACCTAGCCCTAGACAGAGTCCAGGATGGTGCTGGCGGCTGGGAGGAGTCAGAAAAGAGCAGAGTAGAAATAGCAGTGCTAAAAGATTGGTGATGTTTATTACTACATGCTCGGCTTGTGCCAACAGTGTATGTACATTATCAAATACAGCCCTCACACCAGAATCCTTTGAAGTAGGCAATGTCACAGATGTGGAAATCAGTTTTGAGAGATTTTGACAGAATTGATTGGCCACACAGCCCCTTTCTCACCTAGCATTGCACTACCCCTCGGGAGACCTCCAGGGTTGCAGTTTTATCAGCTGAGAGGCAGGTGTGGGCAGCCATGCCCAGTGGAGGACACTGCTGGAGGAGAAACCTTGCAGCAGTCCCTGAGCCAGGTAGTATCCAGTTCTCATGATTACGGCCTTAAAGCCCAGGCTCCCAAGGCTGCTAGGCTACAGAGAATGCTGTCTGCAGGAGGCTAAGGGGCAGTGACACTCAGAACCAAGAGCTTGGCTAATCAGCATGTTAACGACCCAGAAGCATATCCTCTCAAAGCAGCAAAGAGTGGGCCCTGCCTTGGCCTCGGCTGTCCACTTGGCTTTAAGTGGCCTCCACTGGGAAGGCTGCTAGTTCCAGGACCCCAGGACCCGTCAGAGGGATTGACTGCTCATATAATGTGGACAGAAGAACCTCATCTTCTTTGTTTTATGTCCCTCAGAGGCCCTGGCCATACTGAGCTTAGAGAAGTAGGGAGAGCATGATGGTGGATGAAAAGATAACTGAGGTTGCCCTGACAGTGCTCCAGAAGCTGCACAATACACCGCCAGCATGCGACGGGTCACCTCCTGCAAGGCCAAAACTAAATGAGACTAAGATGTAGGGAAGGAAAAAGCCTGGTCTTTAGTGTGGAGGACACCTTGCACTAGCCAGCATCCTGTCCCACCGTCTCTGGGCACTAGTCCTTGGCCTCTCACTGTGCTGGAGGCAGCTGAGCTTCCAGCCGTGGCTCCTGCAGCGGTCAGGGTGGGAGAGAAGAGCAGAGCAAAGGTTTGTTGGACATTGGTAGGTGGCAAAGGCCTGGCTAGGTGGCTTATCTTAACTGTCTTGCTGAATCCTCAGAACTACGTGTGAGGTGGTGATGTATATTTCTTTAAATTAGGAATCTGATATTCAGATGAGATTATGACTTCCTCAGGTCACTCAGTTGATAGTTGGTGTTACTGTACTGTGAGTTGAACAGAGCTCTGTTGGATTCCAAGGCCCACACGCTGTGCTGCAGTGCCCCTCCAGGGTGGTCTCCCCTGAGCCTGAGAGGCCTCCCTCCTGAGTGTTGTGGCCATCTGTGCAGCTTTGTTTTTCACAGATTCCCTGGACTTCGTCACCCAGTGGCTGGAAGAAGCAGCAGATGACCTTATGAAAGAGAAGTATAAAAATGCCCTGCCAGCTGGGGGAGAGGCCACGGACTGTGCGGGCAGTCCCCTGCCAAGTCCTGCTGCTGTTCAGAATCATGCGTACCTGAAGCTTCTGAAATGGGACCATCTCCAGAGACCTTTCCCTGAAGTAGGTGCTCCAGAGCAGTAGAACTGCTCATTTCTTTTTGTGCTGCTGAACTTTTAAACAGTAATAGTTTTGTTATGATATAATACACGTACCAGAAAATTTCCCTTTTTAAATTGTACAATTCTGTGGTTTTTGGAATATTCAGAGTTATGCAACCATTACAACTATTTGATTTCAGAACATTTTCATAACCGCAAAACCCATTAACAGTCGCCACCCTTTCCTCCCTGATGCCACCCCCTGGTCACTACTGATCTACCTTCTGTCTCTCTGGATCCATGCATCTGTCTGTTCTGCACATTTCATATATATAGAATCATGCAGTAGAGGCCTTTTGTCTGGCTTCTTTCACTAAGCATAATATTCATTCATTGTGGCATGTATCAGCACTTCATTCCTTTTCTTTTTTAGTTGTATATTTTACCACAATAAAAAAAAATACATAAAATTTACCATTTTTAAGTGTACAGTTCAGTAGTAGTAAGCACATTCACTTTGTTGTGTAGCCATCGCCACCATCCCCCTCCAAAACTTCTCTTCCTCACAAATTGAAATTCTGTACCCTCTAAACACTAACTCATTCCTCCCTCCCATCCGCCTCTGGCAATGGCCACTCCACTCTCTCTCTGAATTTGGCTCTCGAGACCTCATGTGAGTGGAATGACAGCATCTGTCCTTTGTGTCAGGCTTATTTCACTTGGTAGAGTGTCTTCAGGATTCATCCAGTCTGCAGCGTGGCTCAGCGTTTCCTCTTCAGGCTGCAGAGTGTTTCACTGAGTGACCATACCACATATTCATCTGTCCATTGTTGCACATTTGGGTTCTTTCTGTTCTTTCCACTTTTGGCTTATTGTGAATTGCGCTACACTAAACGGTTGTGTACACTAAACGGTTTTTGTGTGGACGTGTGTTTTCAGTACTCCTGGGTATGTATTTAGGATTAGAATTGCTGGGTAATGTTGTGGCTCCAAGTTTAACATTTTGAGGAACCACCAAACTGTCCCAAAGCAGCTGCATCATTTTTCAATCTCACCAGCAGTGAATGGAGCTTACAGTCTGTGCTGCTGAGCTCTCCTGCTTTTACTCCTCTTGATTGAACCCATCACAGTAATGTTGCTTTTCTGTTTTATCTAAACTTCTTCCCCTTCTATGTGGAACAATATTTTTTTTTCTTTCTGTGTTTTTCACAGTAAGCATTTCCAATTGCAGCAGCCCCTTTAAGGAGATGACTAACACGGGGTTCCCCTGTTCTGTCTGCAAAGAGCTGCTTTGGTGTGTAGACTGGCCCCTCTTTTGTGAGGGCACTCCGGCTTCTTATCTTTACCCTCAAATCCTGCCACTCTAAGTATCTTTCTCATTAAGTTCCTTATTTTTCCTTTCAAGATGTTGTAAGCCTAAGGTTTCAGCTCTTGCCTCTGAGTTCTTTTTTTTTGTGCCAGCAGAGGCTCTAAAGAAGGTGTTGATTTACGGAGTGGGGAGAAGTTTCTTTCTGAGTAGTGGTATGTCTTTTCCTGGAGGGCATTTCTCATCCTGAATTTCTTTAAAAAAAAAAAACAGCTGTGGCAGATGGTGCTGAGGACAGATGTCTTCTCCCAGAATTGATCCTTGGAAATCTTTTGCACCCTAAATTCAAGTGCTGCCTACTGTGGGAGGCCACAAAGCGAGGACTCTGCCGTGTAACAAAGTGAAGCAAAAAGAGAGGTTGATGACAAGTCTGTTGAAGCATCTCTGTTCAGATAGAGGAGCTGAATCTTCAAAGATGGTTTTTATACTTCCTCAGAAGAATTCTGGGCTAAGACCCCAAATTGTTAATGTCTCGATTTGTTGTGGCAGTTTCTTATAGCAAGACTGGTCCTTAAAGTTTATTTGATGCACCTATAAAAACTCAGATCAGAAGTCATAACCCCTGCAGCCTTCCTACTGCTCTTTCCTCATCCCTCACAGGGGCGTTTGGCCTGGTCGGGCCGGGGTGTCTTTAACGTGAGGAAAGCAGTCACAGAAATTCACTCGTGGATTGCTTTCTAGGGGGCCTGGGTGGTTTCTGTCACTCTGCCTTTTCTATGTACTGCTTCTCTTTCTTTATTCACTTACCGATTCTTGAGCACCTCCTCTGCGGGGACTGATGGGATGCCCAGGTGGATAAGCATAGGTTCTGCCTGCAAGGAGTTTCTCCCCTCCTTCCCTCTGGTGCTCTGGAGAGGTGGCTGGCTGCCTTGTACAGGACAGGGGGTGGTGGTGGGGGTCACAGGGCTTGAGAGTTTTCAGTTTTAAAACGGGTACTGGGGTGAGATGGTCAGCCCCACTGTCTACCTCATTACTCTTTCCTGTCTAATGATAAAACTATTTATTGTGTGTTGGATCTGCCAGCCGCTTTATACCCGTGGTCCTTTTTTCATTTTTAAAACCGTCCTATAAAGGAGGAATCCCTGTTTTGTGTAGGGCTCAGAGAGTTGAAGAAATTTGCATGTGGCTATGCCACTCTTTTTTTTTTATTATTATTGATACACGGTCTTATTTTATTTTCAAGTATACAGCATAGTGGTTCAACATTTACTCATATTATTAAATCCTCACTCCCACTAGTACAACTACTATCTATCAACTTAGAAAGATGTTACAGAATCCCTGGCTCTATTCTCTCTGTTGTACTACTATCCCCTTGACCAACCTACATTGTGATTGAGAATTTTGTGCCCCTTTATCCCCCTCACCTTCCCTCCCCTTTGGTAACCACCAGTCCCTTCTCAGTGTCTATGAGTCTACTGCTGTTTTGTTCCTTCTGTTTTGCTTTGCTTTTTGTATTCCACAAATAAGGGAAATCATGATATTTTTCTCTACCTGGCTTATTTCACTGAGAGGCTCTACCACTCTTAAATGCTGGAGTCTGGTTCACACCCAGTCGGCCTCATGTTCTTAATAGGTGTGCTGCTGCTGCCTGTCTAAGGAAGAAGGGTCTCTGAGATGGAGGGATAATTCGCACATGACCCCTTGTGGCTCTGAAAGACTAGAAAAGTCCTGAGCGAAACTCCGGAGGCTTTTGTGGGGCTGTGGCTCTACTGCCCTCTGCTGGCCAGCCCTAATCTACGCTCAGGGATGATTCCCATTGTATTCATTACAGACAGTTTTGATGGACCAGTCCCGCTTCCAAGAATTTCAGCTCCGGCTGGAGCAGCTGACCATCCTGGGGGCTGTGTTGCTGGTCACATTCAGCATGGCAGCCCCTGGAATTTCCAGCCAGGCCGACGTCGCTGAGAAACTCAAGATGATTGTGGAGATTCTGCTGACAGATATGCATCTGCCGTAAGTGGCACGGATCTTCAGTGGAGGGATGGGGGGCAGCAGGTGACCCTGGGACAGGCCTCTCCCAGCATAAGCCAGAATCGGGGGCCACTCTCTAGGAGCTGAGAGGAATGGGGTGGAATTTATTCAGGATCATACCCTAGGGTTCACGAGGCTCTACGATAGTGGCTTTCAAATATTTGTGACCAGAACCCATACTAAGAGGTTCATTTTCTGTTGTGACCTAGTACACATTTAGACATATGTAACTGAAATAAAAACTTAACAAAGTGCAACTTACCCTAACCATGCTTAGTACATCCCGATATTTCTATTTCTATTTTTATTTCACAACACAGCCCTGGGGAAAGGTCATACAAGAAACAGGCTGTATTCCTCCCAAGTTGCATGGGATAAAAGTTTTCTGTCCTTTGCTTCCTCATGGACATTTTGTACTGGGTATACATGGATGGTTTTCTTGACCAGCGCTAATTCGTACTTGTGTGAGGGTAGCTGCTCTAACGGCTCCTGCACCGAAGTAAGATTCACGATCTCTGTGGTTTGCAACATATAGAGTATTTTTGAATGGTTCTAAATAAACACTGTATCTGACAAGGTCCAGTTCAGAGGATTCTGCAAGGGGAATGTCCCCAAACATTCTCATCCTTACAAATTGGAGGAATTTTGCTGCTGCATGTACACAAACCAACATTCTGATTTCTTGTACATTGCTCCAGAGGTATTTAAAATAGTCCTGACTCAGGTCCAGGCTAGTTTCAACACACAGATGCTAGCAGGAAGTTGGGTTTTGAGTTGTTGGTTTTGGTAGTCTGCGCTCTCCCCTTCCCACTCTCCTTTTTAGCAGGGAGAGAGAGAGAATCCTGAGTCATGTGTACCCAGCCTGAGAGGGTAGGGGCAGGGGAGAGTCACAAGTGTTCCCTTGGAAACATCTGCCCGTGAATTGCTTATCTTGACTCTTACCAAGGCATAGGCTGCTCAAACTAGGTAGATGTGCACTTTGATCATAGGCCTTGTCTTTCCTGTCTTCTCCTTTCCCTCCTTTTTCTAGCTCCTTCCATCTGAAGGATGCCCTGACTACCATTGGGGAGAAGGTCTGTGTGGAGGTGAGCAGCTGCCTTTCCCTGCGTGGACTCACACCCTTCACCACAGACAAGGAGATGGTGCTCAAGGGCCAGATCCAGGCTGTGGCCAGTCCCAACGATGCCATCCGCCGGATTGTGGGTATGTTTGGGGGAAGACAGGCAGCAAGGCTGTGCCTCAGATGGGCTGGTGGCAGACAGGCCACTCGGAAGAAACCTAGAAGGGTTTGATGGATTGTGAGTGGCGATGAGTGAGGAAAGAGTGATTAATCATAACAGTGTAATGGGGGCGATCCAGTGGCCTGGGCAAGTGACCAGGCAGCCCCTATGAGGGGGTGCACCTCAGCTCCACAGGGACAGAGCATTGTTCTGGGTCTTTGACTTTGGGGTTGCAGGTCCTGGTTCAAAACCCTTCCCTAGCACTATGTGATAGCAGGTGATGCCTGTGGGTCTCTGCCCCCAGCTGCTGGCGTGGGCTCCTAAACCCTTGTGATTCCTAAGTAATAAGAGCACTAGGAGCATCTTTGTTCTGATACTTGATTTTTGACCCTGGTCTTGACAGAGCTCCTAAATCCTTCGGGATTTCCTGGATGAGAGTGGTGTCTTGTTCTAATGAGGTGACTTTTGCTGGACACCTGGATGGGGGCTGGTCACCAGAAAGACCAGGCCATGGGGAGAAGCTTGAAATTTTCAGCTTTATTCTTCATCTCCATAGAGCAAGTACCTGAATGATGAAGCTTCTGTAGAATTCAAGTACAGGATTTGGAGATTCCAGGTTGGGGAACACATCCATGTGTTGGGCAGGTGATGCACCCCAACTCCCTGGGGACAGAACCCTTTCCCTCAGGATTCTTCCAGACCTCACCCTATGTACCTCTTCTTCTAGTGTTCATTTATATCCTTTGTCATATCCCTTATTATATAATAAGCCAGTAAACATAAGTGTTTCCCTGAGTTCTGTGAGTGGTTCTAGAAAATAATGAAAAATTCAAGGGATAGGAGGTCATGGGAACCTCTGCTTTGTAGCCAAGTTGGACAGAAGTTGTGGGTGACCTGGGATCTAACTAATTGGATTGCCATCTGAAGTAGGGGGGGACAGTCTTGTGGGACTGAGCCCTGTGGGATCTGACACTATCTCCAGGTAAACTGAGTAAAATTATAGGACCCCCAGCTGGTGTCCCAGAGAATCACTTGGTGCGGAAGCCCCCAAACAATGTGCTGGAATAGTTCTGAGTGTGGTAGCTGTGAGAGTAAAGGAGGAGCATTGGTTTAGTTTAGGGGCATAGGCTTTCTGTACAGATACTTCCTATGGAGCTTAACCAAGTGCCTTGACACTGAGCTTTCTCCTCCCTACAAAAGGGGATAATACCAGCAACCTCACAAGGTTGCCGAGAGGAAGGCAGGTGATAACATATATCAGGTGTTCACCACAGTACCTGGCAGCACATATTAAGTACTCAGTAAAACGTATTGTTGTTATTATTAAATTATTAATTAAATTATTCTTAAACTATTATAATTATTGAAAATATTGCTTTACTAGCTATTACGTTCATCATTACAGCAGTGACTGTAAATTGCATGAATTAAGAAAAATTCTGTTCATTGATTGATAAGAAATACAATGTTTATCTAATTTTAAAAACTCATATTTATCTTTCACATAATTTTTTATTGAAGTATCTTTGATATTCAATCTCATATTGGTTTCAAATATACAACACAGTGATTCAACAGTTACCCATATTATTAAATCCTCACCCCCATTTAGTGCAGTTACTATCTGTCAACATAAGATGTTACAGAATCACTGACTATATCCTCTATGCTGTACTATCATCCCTGTGACCAACTTACATTATGATTGAGAAGTTTTGTGCCCCTTTATCCACCTCAACCTCCACACTCACCCACCCCAGCACCTCCCCGATGGTAACCACCAGTCACTCCTCAGTGTCTTTGAGTCTACTGCTGTTTAGTTCCTTCTGTTTTGCTTTGTATATTTATATTCCACAAATAGGTTAAATCATCTGGTATTTGACTTTCTCTGCCTCACTTATTTCACTGAGCATAATACCCTCTAGATCCATTCATACTGCTGCAGATGGCAAGATTTCTTTTTTTATAGCTGACTAGAAATGATTTTTATGTATATGTACCACATCTTTATCCATTCATCTACTGATGGACAGGACACTTCGGTTGCTTCCATATCTTGGCTATTGTAAATGATGTGGTGAAAAACATAGGGGTGCATATATGTTTTTGAGTCTGGGATTTTGTTTTCCTCAGGTAAATTCCTAAAAGTGGAATTGCTGGTCAAATGGTATTTCTGATTTTATTTTTTTGAGGAATCTCCTTATTGCGTTCTACAGCAGTTGTAACAATTGACATTCCCACCAGCAGTGTACAAGGATTCCCATTTCTCCACATCCTCACCAACACTTGTTATTTCTTGTCTTTTGGATAGTGGTTATTCTGACTGGTGTGAGGAGATGTATCCTAGTTTTGATTTGCATTTCTCTGATGACTAGCGATGTGAAGCATCTTTTCATTTGCCAGTTGGCCATCTGATTTCTTCTTTGGAGAAATGTTATGTTCAGGTTCTCTGCCCATTTTTTAATTGGGTTATTTGTTATTTTTGGTGTTGCAGCATATGAGTTCTTTATATATTGTCCTGTTTTGTGTAGGGCTCAGAGAGTTGAAGAAATTTGCATGTGGCTATGCCACTCTTTTTTTTTTATTATTATTGATACACGGTCTTATTTTATTTTCAAGTATACAGCATAGTGGTTCAACATTTACTCATATTATTAAATCCTCACTCCCACTAGTACAACTACTATCTATCAACTTAGAAAGATGTTACAGAATCCCTGGCTCTATTCTCTCTGTTGTACTACTATCCCCTTGACCAACCTACATTGTGATTGAGAATTTTGTGCCCCTTTATCCCCCTCACCTTCCCTCCCCTTTGGTAACCACCAGTCCCTTCTCAGTGTCTATGAGTCTACTGCTGTTTTGTTCCTTCTGTTTTGCTTTGCTTTTTGTATTCCACAAATAAGGGAAATCATGATATTTTTCTCTACCTGGCTTATTTCACTGAGAGGCTCTACCACTCTTAAATGCTGGAGTCTGGTTCACACCCAGTCGGCCTCATGTTCTTAATAGGTGTGCTGCTGCTGCCTGTCTAAGGAAGAAGGGTCTCTGAGATGGAGGGATAATTCGCACATGACCCCTTGTGGCTCTGAAAGACTAGAAAAGTCCTGAGCGAAACTCCGGAGGCTTTTGTGGGGCTGTGGCTCTACTGCCCTCTGCTGGCCAGCCCTAATCTACGCTCAGGGATGATTCCCATTGTATTCATTACAGACAGTTTTGATGGACCAGTCCCGCTTCCAAGAATTTCAGCTCCGGCTGGAGCAGCTGACCATCCTGGGGGCTGTGTTGCTGGTCACATTCAGCATGGCAGCCCCTGGAATTTCCAGCCAGGCCGACGTCGCTGAGAAACTCAAGATGATTGTGGAGATTCTGCTGACAGATATGCATCTGCCGTAAGTGGCACGGATCTTCAGTGGAGGGATGGGGGGCAGCAGGTGACCCTGGGACAGGCCTCTCCCAGCATAAGCCAGAATCGGGGGCCACTCTCTAGGAGCTGAGAGGAATGGGGTGGAATTTATTCAGGATCATACCCTAGGGTTCACGAGGCTCTACGATAGTGGCTTTCAAATATTTGTGACCAGAACCCATACTAAGAGGTTCATTTTCTGTTGTGACCTAGTACACATTTAGACATATGTAACTGAAATAAAAACTTAACAAAGTGCAACTTACCCTAACCATGCTTAGTACATCCCGATATTTCTATTTCTATTTTTATTTCACAACACAGCCCTGGGGAAAGGTCATACAAGAAACAGGCTGTATTCCTCCCAAGTTGCATGGGATAAAAGTTTTCTGTCCTTTGCTTCCTCATGGACATTTTGTACTGGGTATACATGGATGGTTTTCTTGACCAGCGCTAATTCGTACTTGTGTGAGGGTAGCTGCTCTAACGGCTCCTGCACCGAAGTAAGATTCACGATCTCTGTGGTTTGCAACATATAGAGTATTTTTGAATGGTTCTAAATAAACACTGTATCTGACAAGGTCCAGTTCAGAGGATTCTGCAAGGGGAATGTCCCCAAACATTCTCATCCTTACAAATTGGAGGAATTTTGCTGCTGCATGTACACAAACCAACATTCTGATTTCTTGTACATTGCTCCAGAGGTATTTAAAATAGTCCTGACTCAGGTCCAGGCTAGTTTCAACACACAGATGCTAGCAGGAAGTTGGGTTTTGAGTTGTTGGTTTTGGTAGTCTGCGCTCTCCCCTTCCCACTCTCCTTTTTAGCAGGGAGAGAGAGAGAATCCTGAGTCATGTGTACCCAGCCTGAGAGGGTAGGGGCAGGGGAGAGTCACAAGTGTTCCCTTGGAAACATCTGCCCGTGAATTGCTTATCTTGACTCTTACCAAGGCATAGGCTGCTCAAACTAGGTAGATGTGCACTTTGATCATAGGCCTTGTCTTTCCTGTCTTCTCCTTTCCCTCCTTTTTCTAGCTCCTTCCATCTGAAGGATGCCCTGACTACCATTGGGGAGAAGGTCTGTGTGGAGGTGAGCAGCTGCCTTTCCCTGCGTGGACTCACACCCTTCACCACAGACAAGGAGATGGTGCTCAAGGGCCAGATCCAGGCTGTGGCCAGTCCCAACGATGCCATCCGCCGGATTGTGGGTATGTTTGGGGGAAGACAGGCAGCAAGGCTGTGCCTCAGATGGGCTGGTGGCAGACAGGCCACTCGGAAGAAACCTAGAAGGGTTTGATGGATTGTGAGTGGCGATGAGTGAGGAAAGAGTGATTAATCATAACAGTGTAATGGGGGCGATCCAGTGGCCTGGGCAAGTGACCAGGCAGCCCCTATGAGGGGGTGCACCTCAGCTCCACAGGGACAGAGCATTGTTCTGGGTCTTTGACTTTGGGGTTGCAGGTCCTGGTTCAAAACCCTTCCCTAGCACTATGTGATAGCAGGTGATGCCTGTGGGTCTCTGCCCCCAGCTGCTGGCGTGGGCTCCTAAACCCTTGTGATTCCTAAGTAATAAGAGCA